AAGTTTATTTAATAAAATGATCAACATTGTATATAACTAAATTTGGTATTAAAATTGACGGACATTTCACATGACTGATATGCTAAGTAGCTGATGTTTATGAAGATCATTTCTATATAAAGTTAGTTAAACATAACGAAAAATTTTTTCTTGAAAAAGTAATCTATCGTCCCATCAAATGGTTGATTGTATCACGCACCTATCAACATATTAAATGTATTATTAATTAATATAAATATATATATATATATATTTTTATTACTAATACAATATTACAATAATTAATACATCATATATATATATATACAAATTGAAAATTAAAGGGAAAAAAAAAAAAAGTTTGTTTTTATAGTAAATAAAAAAAATATTTGTACAAATTACTAAGCTAAAAATATAAAAATTACAAATAGATTATATAAAAAATTTACATATATAATTGCTTTAACTTATAAACAATAATTTATATAATAATTTATGTTCATTGTTCTTTTTCTATCACGACTTGATTAAAATAACCCTCAACTTTATTAACTTTCATCGTTTTGTCATCAAAACTTGATTGCTTAAATATTTCATCATCATTCGCTTTGACGTTATAACTTGTTTCTGACTTAAATGGTTTTGGTGTGGATGGTGGAGATATCTGTCCTTTTGCAGTCCATCCACCATCTGTTTCTTCATCTACTGTAATACGATTAGGATCAATACCTACCAAATAAATACAATAAAAATTAGCGTATGAATACAAAGGTTTCAAACATTCGAATTTTAAGTTTACCTAGATAACAAAAATCACATATTTTTATAACATTTGTCATAATACTAAATCGTCTATTCTCGATTGTCTGTGATGATAATTCATCCAAAAATTTTTGAGGTAGTGATGAAAAATCAATTGATTTCTTTGTGAGACACTCGTTACAAACTAGAATGGATACCATGATAAAGAAAGTGAGCTGACAAGTTCAAGAAATAAAAAAAACCAGACATGTATTATATATCATTCAAGTATAACTTACCGATTTTCTTGCATTTCAAACATTCATTCTAATCGAAAGTATTTAAAACATTAAATGTCAATAATTTAAATTATAATCGTTTGAATTATTTCAAAAATATAGATTAGTATATATGTATTCTTATAACTTACTCTCCATCTGAATACAGTGAAATCAACTCTGCAATAGTCACAGCGTTTAGCTTCGATAGCATCACGTAGAGATTTGTTGATCTGATAAAAGGATAAATTATTTGTATAAAATTAATCTAATAAATAAATTCTGATATGGTAGTAACTCACCGAAAATAATGCTACGCTTGCTCGATTGTTTTCTAATATATTAAACATATTATCTTTATCCTTAATATCATCATCTTTTTGTGGAGATTCAACAAGTGAAATTGTGCTCTTATTATTGACAAGGTTCCATACATGAATTCCGGGTGCTATATCCTCATCTCTTAAAGCATCAGGAAACATTGTAAAAAAACAAGGGTCACATGCACGTGCCGACTGATCTTCTCGTTCACTTGAACCAGGAATAACAAATTTCTATATTAAAATTTAGCAAGATTAGACAAATTTCTAAAAATTATAGAACTATGTAGAATAAGAAATATACCCTTGTAGAACAAGCATGGCAAACAACTTTTCCACACACTCGACAGTGATGTTTTCTTCGAAATATCGTATAAAATTCTTCCGAGCAATTCATACAACGATCAGCTTCTGAATCTGGAATCCATACAGGCGCATGATAATTCTCCACAATTCTCTTTTTGTACGTATCCTTTCTTTCCAATCCCACATTATTATCTTAATGATAATAAAAAGAATTAATAATAATACATAGATTAAAGTAATGGTTATCAAATTACATACCAATTTTGAGTGTTCTTTTAGCGCTTAAATATTCTTCTTTGGCATCACGAATCGCGTTGATCCACGATTCTTTATCTTTCTGAGTATCTAAAAACACATACATAATTCAATCAGTTAAATAACAGATTATATTAGATAACATGCCGAATAAAGATATCTAACCTGCATAAAGTGTGAAGCTTTTTTGAGGGCTCATTATCAGAAATCCATTAACATCTTGTTAATGATAAATAAAAAACAAAATCGGTAAATTAAATATAATTTAAGTAGATAAATATAAAGTTAGGTTGATAATTTATTTACTTTGAGTATCAACAACTAAAACTGTTACATCCTCGAGATCGAACTTTCGATGAAACGTATAAGTATCATCCATTAAACTAGGAGTTGCATAGATCAAAATATCTGAAAATAAGAAAAATTCGCGTTGCTGATGATTTCGACGACATATCTACGAAAAGAATTTCAATATTAACATCAAATATAAATAATATAAATAATACATCTAACGTATGTTTCGCTACCTTTTTGACGGTTCCTCTCTTAATAAAAGTACGACCAGGAACCAATAATACTTCATCAAATCCTGTCAATGATTTTTGAATATCTAACATAGTAATAAACATTTCATGTTGTCGAATAGTTTCATTGACAAAAGTTGCAACATTTTCAATAACTTGATAAGCTTTCTTTAAGTTAAGATAATCTGGATGAGTTTCCACTGTTTTCTTTAACAGATCCTCTAACAATAATTTGTATCTAGGTATCCGTTGTACTGGCATTATCAAATACGCTTGTAAGGTAAGACCTTTACACTGTCCTGTCTTGATAATATCCTATAGTAATGAATAAATAAAATTTAAAAAATTGTGCAAAAACTGAAAGAACTTAATTGACCGATGCATACCCTTAGAAAAGCGGAAAATGCCGGATTATCTCTTAATTGAACGTCAATTACGGAAAGAGCCGAATTGAAATTTTTAACATAAATCGAATACATCTTAAAGAAAGGTGCCTATATTTTTTGATTTTAAATTATTGAATTAATATTACAGGAAATTAAATATATAATACATAATGAATAAATAATGAATATATAAGCTTTACCATATTCAAGAAAATGTCTCCTAGGCAACCATCTTCAGGATTCCAAAATTTATCCTCAGAATCTTCAATTGGTTTATCATCAATGAGTATAGCAATTCTCTCTTCCAATCTTTTTAATAATTCTATGTTAATATTAATTAGATCAGAGAGATTTGCAAATATTTCATTGATTGACTTTTTGGTCAGTATCGGGTTGGCCGATTTCAGTGATTCGTTCAAAGGGCTTAGGAACAACTGTATTGAATTAATAAAAATAATTGTTTTTGATTAATGAAATTACATCTAAATTGTATAAAGATTAAATATTTTCATACCCTTTGGACAAGCTGTAAACAATCAACATAATGACGCTCGGTAGTCAATATTTCCAAAGCGATATTAAAACGTTTTTGCATTAAATTATTAAGGCTCATTCTCATGGATGCTCTTGAGGCTCTTTGAGCAAGTTGGGCATTAGCAGGTGATGATAATCTACTGGGACGTAAAGTAGCGCGCTGAACAGACGAACTTTCATTTGACGTATTAGAATAAAAGGAAGCGCGAATATTAGTAGTACTTTCCAATTCTTTTAGTTCATCTTGTTCATCATCATCATCATCATCATCGTCGTCGTCGTCATCAACCAAAATTACGGGAGATGTAATTATATCAGATGAACCAGTATCGTTAGATAGAATTGGCATTGAAGCGCGTCTTTGAGAATCAATAATATACTGATTAGAACTATTTGGTGAAGTAAATTCGCTTGAGGAAGAAGGCATAGAATATCGTTGATGAGGTATACCAGTAGAAGATTGAGGAGCATTATTATAAAGTTGTTTATTAAGTTTATGATGATGATCATTTAAGATTGAAGGTGAATTGCTGAACATTGAGATTGTATCAGACATACTATCACGACTGTTCGTAATTATAGAATTGGAAGCAAATGAAGATGATAAAGAATGATATGAATCTGATAATGTATCATATTCGCTATAATATTGATTTGTAGATGAAGAAGAAACATTAGATATAGGTCTACTTGATAATGGTGTGGTTGGTAATTGAGGCGGCAATGGTAAATCATCAATTGAATTTTCGATCCCTGAAGTTTTATATATTTCAGGAGAACTAACCACTTCTTTGTCTTTTTCAGTTTTAATATATATACTATTAGTCATTACTCTTCCATATTGTTGTTGATTACTACCACCTTGAATAATAACTGATAATCTCGATTTTGCAGTTCCCAAATTCTTTTCAAGTATAGCAGTTGGTTGAACATAAACACTTTCAGCCTCTGGAATTGAGGGAGGCTTATTAAATATCCAAGATTGACGCGCGTTGGATAATATTGTTCGTCGAACAAAGGGTGAAGCAGAAGAAGGAGAAACGACATTATTGTTAATAATGTCGTTAATATAGTTTTGTTGTGACTCCTTTAAAACAGCTGTATTAACTGATAATGGAGACTTTGATTTAATAACATTATTGTTCGAGGAACTTTTTCGTCCAAATAATTCTTGTAATTGATTAGAATTGTTCATGATAGTAATGTTTTTTTTTCGTTTATTAATACAAATTAAAAAGAAGCTAATCCCTCATTATATTCGTTAATTCTTTTATTGGTCTTTTAAAAGAAAAAAGGAAAAAAAAAAAAAATTTCGAATGAACTTTAATTGCACTGATATTTAATAAATCAAAATTTCTACCAATGACGCTATATTTATGGATATTAATTGATAAAGCCAAGGGGGCCATTATAAACGATCGCTACCTTGCATGGTATATTGACATCATATCTGGAATTTATGAAACGTAATGTACGGATTTGGTAATAACTAATAATTTAAACCAGAGTAAACATATGATCCAAAATGTTCTGAGATTAAAACCCTTAATATATTTTGTCCCATTCTATTAATGGAAATGCACATGTTTTTATTTATAGTAGGACGTTTGTTACATGGTTTATTTATATTGTTTCATTGGAAACTTGCTCAGAATTTTCTTCTCGTGTTCGCACACGATTCAAGTTTTTGGTAAAATCTTCAATACCAATAAAATCTTGTGCTTTTTCAGCAAATTCTATAGCATTAATATACAAAGAAACGGCTAATTCATTATTTTCTCTTCTTTCATGTATTAACCCAAGATTATTAAGAATAACACCTGCGCATTCATCACAATCTCTGTTCCCATCACCGTTTTTAGCTATAGATAAACCTTTTTGTAGCCAACCCAAAGCTTCATCATATTTTCCCATAGCAAAAAAAATTTCTCCTATGTGACCATTAATTATAGCTTCCCAACATTTCAATTTCAAACTTTCTTTCTCTTGTATCATTTTTAATAAACTTAAATAAAGTGGTAAAGCGTAATCATATTTTCTTTGTTTTGCATATAAGCCTGCAAGTAAATCTGTGATCGATATGAAATCTTTGTTAATTAATGAAGTACTCGCAAATATTGAGGTATTTTCTAATACTTCATCATCTTCATTTAATAATTCAATAACATTTCCTTGTAATAACCCAATTGCCCATACGAGATATTTTTCTGCGGTAATATAATCTTGAATTCTAATATATAAATCTCCCAATTTCTTTGCAATATCAATCACCTCGCTCAAATCTTCTTTACCTTCCCTCGATGGATGTTGTTGTAATAATAATTCCAATATTTGTCTGTATTGCAAGATTGCATCTTCTAAATTTCCCCTCCACACATAATTATCCCCCAAGGATTTTAGAATATCAATAATAATTTGATCGTTTAGATCTAATTTATCTCGTTCAAGTATAATTTGTAATGCTTGTCTTAAATAAATTTCTGCTGTATGTGAATCAGGCGATATTTTTGTGCGTATAAAAGCTCCTCTTAGACAATCTCTCGCTGGACGTGATAATTTTGTAGGTGTTGGATATAGAAAATGTTCAATATAAAAATGATATCCTCTCCATGATAATAATCCAATTATCACGATGGATAGTAAACTTATAAATAAAAATGTTAAAAAACGAACAAATTCTCGTCCTGCATGCTTAAATGCTATTTGAAATGCTGTTTGTTGACGTTTTATTGGTGGATATGATGGTATATGTATAAGTCGTTGTTTCTGTCTAAGAAGTGATTGAAAAAATGTATTATGGTTAATCGTTAGAAATTTATTATTTTGAGTATATCTGAAAAATCGAAAACGGGATGCTGCTATTCCCTTCGTTACTGGTAAAGTGTGCGTTGCTTTAGAACGAAGAGATTTAGTTCGAAGTGAACTAAACTGTAGTTGAAAAGACAAACGTGATACAATTATATTATCATTGATGTGAACTTTAACGCAATTTCTAAATCCATTTTGAACTATTGGAGAGAATATCGACGAAAATCCAAAGCGACATTGTTGTAAAATCATATCTGAGTACAACCAGAAAAAAAATAATTAAAAAAAAAAATAATTAATAAATCCGAGATTTAGAGATTTAGGTGTCCAATCATCATGCTGACGATCCATCAACGCAATTTCTTATCAACAAAATGAGTGCCAAAGAAGAGAGAAAAGAATTTGTTAAGAAGAGTATGGATACGAAAACTAGTATAAAAAAAATGGATAACATGATAAGAATGGTTTGTAATGTTTATAATTCAAGGAAGGAAATGCCTTTACTATTAATATGATTATAATGAGCACTTTTCTTTTTCTTTCTTTTTTGTCATTGTAGGTGAATGAGATAAGTGCTATTTTTAACACTATTTGTGATCATTTAAGCGAAACTTGGAAACCACATGAACAAGGAGGTAAATGAAAATCAAAATATGTTCTTTGCGAAAAGAGTTGTAAAACTAATTTGTCTTTCCTTTTGTATTCCATATGAAATATTGTTTATGAAATTATTTATAATTATAAAAATTGTAAGAACTTCATTTGATTCATTTGATTTATTATTTTTGCGTTGATTATTAACCAATCAAAAATTTAAAGTACAAGTAAGTAGAATGAACCTTAATCTACCAACATATGACCCAGACTTCATTGAAAAAATGAATGACAAGATAATGAATAAAATGGAAGAGTTTTCCCAACTACTCGAATCTTCTTTAGGTTTGTCATTAAACATCACTTATCATTATTATATTTTAAGAATATTAAACTGAATATGCTTTATATAGTTGATTTGGAATATGCTTATCAAGTTGAAGAGGCTTGGAATTCTAATCAGAATAATCGAAATAAACCGTAAGTTCATCACTTTTAATTTATCTTATTTCCTTCGTTATTAATATATATTTTTTTATTTCTTACCTATTTAATAGGTACGTTAAATATGATCTTAACGATGATGAAAAAATTATTATAGATCTCAAAGAAAAAATGCAAAAAACAAGTCAACAAGTTACAAAGTAATTATATCTCTTAGAACGTTTAAATTCTTTAAAATTCATATTTATTAATTGCTTCTTACCTTGAAAGTACATTTTTTAAAGATTATGAAACTTATTTTAAAAAACAAAAGGATGATAAGCAGATCATCATTTCAGAATTAACTTTTCCCAAACGAACAAAAGCATATGATGCAAGGTACATGTCTTTTCAAATTCATTTTTTCGAGCTTATTATTTCTTCTCTAAAATTTTTTTTTTTTTTAAAAAAAAAAAAAAAACTATTTTAGACAAATTGATATTACAATTGATAATTGGCTTGCTAAAGCAAAAAAAGGACCTTACAAAATAGAAATTGATAAAACCGATTTTGATACATTAAATCGAGTTTCAGCCTTTTCAGTATGTATTCCACTTTTCATTTTAGTAATGTGATTATTGTGAACGTAAAGTTTTTTAAATTAATACATCTATATACATTTTTTTTTAAAGGTATCAGTAAATAATTTCTTAAAGGTTTACATATCATTAAAATACAATGATATTGACGGGTCTTCTTTAACAATTTCGAGAATAGTATTTTTTGGATATCATGAAAAAGCAAGTTATTATTTCACAAAAATTCTTATGATAGATTCATTATTAACCTTTTTTTATTTCTGTTTTATAAAATTGTTATAATAGAAAACAATTCTAGAGTCATCAGATTCTTTGGAGTTTCAACGAATAACACAACTAGCAACCGCCAAATTAAATGAATTAGATCATACTGATCCGATACCAGATCTACTGGTAAGTTTCACCCGTTTTCTCAATTCCTATTCCATCAATTAATATCTTCTCTTTAGTGACCTATTCTTTATATTTCTTTTCATCTTAAAGGACTGGATATCAAGTTATCATGATTTGACTTCTAAACCTTGTAATATTTGTAACAAATTATTAAATTATGATTCATTTAAATATAAATATTTACCTCCTATCATTAGATTATTACAAATAATTGAAAATGAAAAAAATTATTTACCTTACCATTGGAAATGTTATAATAATTCAAAAAATAATTTATAGATTAGATATTTCGTGTAAAAATAATAAAAAATGCTTATTTTCAGCCACGTGTGACCATCATGAAAAGATTAAGATTTTCCAACTTTCTTTTTCAATTTCATCGTAAACCCAAATTTTCTTCCTTTTTTTATATTTCAAAACTGCCGTCTGAACCAAGTAGTCTAAAAGAATCCTTACAGGAAAGGCATAAGCCTTATTCGGTTAATAGAGGTGTAACTCCTACTAGTATAGGCGGTAGTAGCAAAAGTTCGCAACAGTTTTCATTAGGACAGCAAAAACAGCATGGCAAAGAAATGACGATCACTCTCACAGAACAAGAGTTAAATATATGCGACTTATTGAAACAAGTTACTGCCTATTTGAAGGAAACTAAACCCGAGTTACCCTCTATTGAACTGAGAATAGCTGGTGGTTGGGTTCGAGATAAAGTAATGAAATTTTTTTTTTTTTAGTTTTATTTAATTTAATTTATATTATTTATTTATTTGTTTTTGAAATCAAAATGACATTAGTTACTTGGATTCGAATGTAATGATTTAGATGTTGCGATAAATCATTTGACAGGATTAAATTTTGCAAATTATGTTAAAGAATTTGTTGATAAAGAACATAAATCTATTCCAGTAAAAATTCATTTAATAGAATCAAACCCTGAAAAATCTAAACATTTAGACACTGCTACTACAAACCTTTTTGGTTTGGATATAGATTTTGTTAATTTGAGAAAAGAAGTCTATGATGCGGCTAGTAGAATTCCTGTTTCTATTGTATGTGTTGACTAAACATTCTTGCATTGTTTCTTATCCCACATGGAAGTTAAACCAATATTCATCTTTCTAAAAAGGACTTTGGTACACCCGAAGAAGATGCTTATCGTAGAGATATAACAATAAACGCGTTATTTTATAATATACACACATATGAGGTGGAAGATTTCACAAATAAGGTAGATTTATATTTATATATATTTTTTTTAAATTTAACGCGAAGCCTAAGAATTTTTTTTTTTTTTTGGAAAGGGCAAGTCAGATTTGAAAGAAGGATTAATTCGCACGCCACTTCCCGCTTATGAAACATTTAAAGATGATCCACTTCGAGTATTGAGATGTATAAGATTCGCAAGCAGATTTCAATTTGAGATTGTTGAAGATGTGAAAGATGCCATTATAAAAAATGATAGTATCAAAGTAAGAACGTATAAACGTAATCAGTGGCAGCAAATTATTTGTACGTGATCGCATATTAACAATTTAATATTCCAATAGACAGCACTAAATGAGAAAATAAGTCGGGAAAGAATTGGATTAGAGGTTGATAAAATGATCAAAGGTTTAAGTTCAGTTTATTACTTATGGTATATTCTTGTTTGTTTGAATTTAAAATCTTACTTTAATGGCATATATTTTAGGACATGATCCCATTGGCGCCTTTGATTTGATTCTTAATTTAGGACTTTATGATATAGTGTTCTCATCACCTCCACAAGAAACCATCGTATCCGGAAAATTTGAAGATTCAAAAATTTGTTTAAATACAGCAAAAATTCTTAAATGGTATGTATTATATCATCCAAACCTAATACTGAATAATAAATTAACTTATTGTTCTTGTGATTTTCTTAGGTTGTTTTCTGATGAAAGTAAAGGTTATGAGTTCCATCCTAAGTTTCGTCAATTAAATGAAGATGAAAAGCGAAAACTATATTTGGCAGCCTGTACATTACCTTATAAAGATATGATATATACAGAAAAGAAAAAGAGGCATCCGGCTTGCCGTTTTGTAATCCGCGAAGGGTTAAGGGTGTGAATTCAATTTTTTTTTTGTTTTTTTATTTATTTTATGAATAAGTGTAAAAGTCTAATCGGAACTCTGATATAGTTTTCGAATGAGGATGTTGATAAAGTAACAAGCCTTTTCTCAAATGTTTATTCTGTGAAGAACGCAGTTGCACAGAATTATGAAGCCCCAGCAAATAGAGTTGCACTCGGTAATTTATACATTCATTGTATTTAGAAAGTATCGTAAAAAAAAAATAATAATAATAATTCTTAAAGGTTATTTATTAAATTAACTATAGGATTATTGATACGTGAACTTGGATCTGAATGGTTAACTAATTTACTCTTTGCTTTGTCCAATGAGTTGATATCGAAATTTGACAATATGGACCAAGTTAAAGAAATTAGTGACAAATATACAAAGTTAATTGAAAGAGTACAAGAATTAAAATTGGAAAACGTTTTTAATGAAAAACCTATCCTAAACGTAAGTATCGGTTTTGTTTGTATTTATAATTAACAAAAGTTCTTATTAATTTTTTTTTTTTTTTTTAAAAAAAATAAATAAATGAATAACAGGGTAAAGATATTCAGAATTTATTGAAAATTAAACAAAGTCCGGAGGTTAAAATAATATTGAATTCAGTCATGGAATGGCAATTAGAATTCTCAAGTAAAAGTGAAGAAGAATGTAGGGAATTTATTAAAACTAAATATGGAAAAAGATAACTAATTTGGTAGTTTATAATTGTTAAATTAATAAAAAAAAAAGCAAAATCCTTTCTTAATTATCATTTTCTTCTTGTTACTAAAGTAAACCCATCATCATCAATAATGGGTCTATTTGATAATTTTGATGGAGTTGTTGAATTATCTATATCCATCTTCTCATCCTCTTCCATCGTCGAACTTTCTCCATTTTGTAAACTTTCATCATCATCATTACTGCTATCATCCTCATCATCCTCATCATCATCCTTGTTTTTTGCTTTCTTTGAAGATGGAAAATTGTGTTTGGTAGATTTTTGTTTAGATTCTAATAAATCTACTGTTATGTAATTTCCTTGACTACATTCATTATACATTTTAATTAGGTCTTGAGATATCTAACGTAAATAAAGATTAGTCTTTTGAAGTTTTGAAGTAATAAGAGGAAATATATATATATATATATAGTACTTGATATGCTGAATCATCTTCTAATAAAGTGTTAAATTCATCTGACATGATCTGATTCAGAATAGTTTCTAAATCATCAACATCGGTACCCTTACCGTCTAAATTTCCAAAAAAAATTTGAAAATTTTCATTAAAATCAAATAAAAAAGGGGGAACGTATATATTAAAAAAATCAGAAAGATTACTTTTATCAAAATATTCCGCGATAACATTGATTAACCAATCTCTTTTATCTTCCGAATCGTGTCCACCCCATTGCATATCCACAGCCAACTTTAATGCTGTCCATTCAGTTTTAAATAATATTGAAATTCCTCGAATAAAATTTTCTCGGTTCATTGAAGACGAAGATAACTCTTTTTAAATAAAATGAATCAATCAACCAATCAATTTCGTGGCTTAAAAAAAAAATCCGTCGATCCGACAAACTTTATGGATAATCTATTGCACAACGATGAACTGTTGTACTTCGAGTATTTCGAGGTTGAAAATTAAACAAATAACTTTAAATCATTAAAAGTAAAAAAATCGGAATTTGGCTCCTTTTCGGCACAACCCGATAAACTGAACTAATTTTGATTTTTTATTAATGTTTTAATAGAATTGTGCCCCTTTGGATTTTCTTGTGATAGATCGGCTAAAACTTTCCGGTGTTTAATTTTACGCGTGAAAGTTAGGATGTTGATTTCAAATAATTTCTATTTAATTAGATTTAAAGGAGGAATCTGGTATAAATAGAAATATTAATTCAACTATAAAAAATATATATGTGATAACTATAAATATTTTCGGCGCCAGTTAATAATATATAAATCTTTTTATTTATAAGTAATTTTATAAATTATAATAAAGTATTAATATACAGGGAGGTGAAATAAATATTGAATAATTTTTTATTTTAAAAGTTTATTTATATTTATTTGTTACTTTAGCAGAAATAATTGCATAAATTCGAAAAGGCATTGAATTAATAAGGTTTGATATATCTCTTTGGGAATCAACTCCCATACTTCAATAACCATTTTTTCCAAATCTTGGATGTTAAATGGTCCGGGTTTACGTTTTCAAAGTCCAGATTCAATAATTGACCAAAGTTCCTCAAGATTAAGGTCAGGACTCTGAGGTGGCCATGACAAACATTTTACTTTACTTGAATGAAGAAAATCTTGTGCGATTTTTGCTGTATGCACTGGTGCATTGTCTTCTTAGAAAACAAGCTTTTTTAAACCTTTCGTGATTGTTCTTTAAGGGTTGGCACAGTATAAGTTCATGATAGGTTTTATCAGTAACAGAACCAATTAATTGAATAATGGGTCTGAGTGAGTCCAAACCATGAAAAACAGCTTCAAAACATTCATTTGGGACTGTGTTATACGGTCAAGGCAATATAATCTTCATTAAATTCTTCATCAGATTTCGCCAAACTCAAATCCCAACCTGAAGTTTGAAACTGAGAAAAGGTAGATTCATCTGACCAAACTACTTTTCTCTAATCAGTCATTGTCCAATTTTTATGCTATTCTACAAAAGCAAGTTTTTTTGACTTTATTGTAAAAGAAATCAATAGTTTTAGACAAGACATATATAATCGAATACCTTTTATCCTTCATGCTTTTTGAATGGTTCGCTTAGATACTTTCTCACCTTTATTTTATTTGAAAAAAGCTAATAAACTTCTTTTAAATTATGATGCCTAGAATCTTTATTATTAAGAACAACTTTTTCGCAGTCATTATTTGGGGATTAGCCTGATTGTTATTAATTATTTTTTTAAAACTCGAGAAACTGTTGCCTAACACTTAGCAATTTTTGCAGTTTTTTCTTGCATAATATAAAGTTTTTGACATATAAAAATTGCATCTCTTTGCTCTTTGTAAGACCCATTTTTTTGCAACAATTCTGAAAAATTTTAAAAATTTAAATCAAAAATAATTAAACTTTGCGAAAAATTTATAAATAATAGATTATTATATTTACCTTTAAATAGTAATAATAACAAAGACATTAATATAACTGAATTATCTGTTAACCCTTCAAACAAAAGATTTAAAAAATCAAAGAGCTAATAAATAATATCATTAAAAAGTTAAAACCATTAAGAAAATAAAAAATTTTTATTTTACTTAATAATAGAAAATTAATGTAAAATATAAAATTAATATAATAGAAAAAAATCTCCTTCTGTTAAATATCATAATCATTGTTATACTTAAATTTTTAAAAAAATAAAATTATAATACATTTTTTTTTCCACTTAAGCTTTTCTTTATTTGTTTTTTCAAAAGTAATAAAAATCAACAAATAATCATGATAATTAATAATTAATAATCTTATATACAGTCAACCCTCTCTAAATGCATCCCCTCAGGATCATAGTGAAAATTTTAAAAAATGTGCATTTAAAGAGGGTGTGCATTTAAAGAGAAAATTTCTATATGAATTCTATATGCTTAGGACTGAACGAGAGCGTGCATTTAGAGAGAAAATATATAGTGTGTGCATTTAGAGAGGGTTGACTGTATCTGTTATCATTTATCATATAACTCTTTAAAAATATATTCTAATATAATTAATAATAATTTATATATTAATACATATCCTAAAAATAGAAGAATTAATATTATTTATACAAATATAATTTTAGATATAATTTAAAAAAAAATTTTATATAATATTATCTAATTAAAAAATCATATTTTCACACCTATTATAGATAATATCATGCTTAATGATAATAAATAAACAAACTAGACTTTCTTAATAAACTATTTTTTTAATATTTAATTTTATTAATATTAATTAAAAATTTTATAATAGAAATATAAACATCTTTATTAAATATTACAAATAAAGTGTTAAACTTCATCTAAAATTTTTTTCAATTTATTAGTGAATAAATTTCTATTTTATAAAATAAATATTCTCTTATTTATAAACTTAAAATTACTTTTAATATTATACATCAATATGTAAAAAAAACATTTTTATTATAGTATCATCAAATTTGTTGATGATAAATATAGAGAAAAATATAGTTTATTTTATAATATCATTATATTATTTAATAAATTATAAAATAACATTAAGTATTTTTATACTTCAGTAGATAAATTTAAGTTTTATAATAAATAAATCACTGGATTTAAAGAATTTTTAATAAAATTTACTTGTAAAAATATTTAAACTTTAAAAAATATATATATTATTTTTATATTTAAATTAAATAATCTTTATTTTTAAATTTGATATAAAATTTATTTATAATCAAAAATTTTATATAATAAATATACACTTAATAGATATTTTCAACAGATTTATAATTTATTAAAAAATGTAAATATTTATATTATAAAAATTTAATTTTAATAATAAAAACATCTTTTACTTTGAAATTTAAAGATATTACTGGATAACACTTTTATAAGAGTATTATGAGTAAATTGTTACCTAGTTATGAGTATTGTTATCTAGTTATAAGTAAATTGTTACTTAGTTATGAGTACAATGTTACCTAGTTACTGTTTTTATTGTTCTGTGATTGTTTTATTGCTTTATTGATATCTATTTATTTTTATTGCTCTGTAGTCTTTTTATTGCTTTATAGATATTTGCTTGATTTTATTGCTTTATCTTCTTTTTATTTCCTTCTAGCTATCCGCTTGTTTTCATTGCTCTGCGATCTTTTTGTGGTCATGATGCTAGGCTAGCATTATTTGCTAAAAATTGTGTTGTGGTCAGGTAACACAATCAAATCACATGACTTTATTTTAGTTAATTTCAACGTTCTTAGATCGCTCAAAATTATGGCTAGTCGAATTATTGTAATTTACTGCGTCAAATAAATCATGTGTATAATGCGTTTTCAGAACCTTCCCGTCACTTCCCTATTACTTTTCTGCTACTTTTGAGGTTCTGACTGGAGGATCTGATGGTTAGAGAATCAGAAGTACTAAGATCAGCTTATATAATTACCAGGAATTATTACTGAACTTGCTTGCAATCCTACCCTTATTTGATTGCCGGTTGAGACACAAAGTGCTGAATTTACAATCCATCCATTTGCTGAAGATGTGTTGCAATCCATTCACCCACTTTTTATTGCTGATCAGGTACATGTGAAGTGCCGATGTTGTGCCATTCTTGCAATTTCGTTCATGACCATTTTGATTGCCGAGGATGAGGCATGAAGTACTGAATTAGTGATCCAGATGCGCAATCCTATCTTTTATAACCCTTTTGATTGCTGAGGATAAGACACGAAATGCTAAATCAAGTCTGACCATACTCTTTTCATGCTCTTTTTCTCATATTTTCCTAAACCTTTCTGCCTTTTTGACCTCTTTTCTGCCTATTACCTGGTAACCCAAATACGCAAAATTTATTCTCTCTCTTTCCTATATATAATTCTGCGCATCTAGGTTACCAAAATTTTGCATTTTTTAGCTTTTAGATTCTATTCCTGTGTAGTTATTACTTCAGGATATCTTTGCATCGATTGCTTTGGAGTATTATTTAGTATATTTATTACATATTCATGCTAGTAATCTGATTAGAGATCAGAATGGTTTATACTTTTTTATTTCGTTTTTGAATCATACATATTACATTTTTTATTTTAAACTTAAGATTTTGTTAGTGTACATATACTGGAAACTTTCTATTTATTTATACTTAAAAGTTTGCTTTTACCATGCTTCTTGTGCAAAAAAATGCTGGACTTCACCTAAAAATAATAAATAAAGCAATCAGACTCTTTTCAAGGTTAGCAGACCTTGACTATGAGCCTAGTTATAATGATCATGTATACTTTCAATATTTGTTTAATAATAAAAATGATATTTCTCTTCTAGACACCTATTATCCTGAAGAGATTTATTCAAAATATATTATTCAGGTAGCAGAAAAGGGTTTTATGGTAGTTGATCATCCATCTGAAGTTTATGGGTTTTCTGATACTCATGAATGCATTGATAGGAATCTGCCTCTTTGCCTAGTTCTAGATATTGATGCAAGGCAGTATTCTGATCCTATAAATCCTGAACTCCCTTCCTTAGATGAATATAAAATTTCTCGCGAAAATTTATTATCTAGAATCTTAATTGCCTGCACTGATATTATAAACTCTGATTTAAATCATTTCATAATATTAGACGCTTTTGCCTTAGCCAGTTCGTCTAATACTAATAAATGCAGTTGACATATCATATATCCTTATACACATTTTATTGATTATAAAGACCTTGAGGGTTTTGTAAAAAAAGTTGCTGATAAAGTTGGAAAGCCATACTCAGTTTTTATCGATTTTGACCTTTATAAATTTCGCTTCAGCCTTCGTCTTCTTGGATCGGTAAAGGGAGATAGAGTTAAAAGACCTGCGATTTCTTCAATTAAGAAAGGATATTACAAGCTAGAAAATTATCTAGTTTAGCCTAAATCCAATTATTCTGAAATCTGTACCGTAAATCTGTGTGACTGCTTGTGCGATGTCCGGTCTATATACACTGATCGCCTAGTGAAATGTACCACCTGCAGGTTTGGGTAAATATTGCGATCTGCCTATTCTATTATGATACCTGCACTATAGAACTCAAATGTACGCTAAGTTACTTTAACGCGTCTTCTCTCATTTGCCTCAATTTCATAGTTGCGAGATATAAAATGACTTTAGCTCGATATGTATATTTTTACGCTGTAATTACCGTGATTTCTGTACAGTCTTCTAATACATTTTTTTATCATGTCTATCACCACTTCTACTATAAACGTTCGAGGAAACTTATCCGCATGTAAAGATATCCCATATATCAAGTATTTTGAGCTTTGCTTGTATGAAAATTGGTCTCTCCACCACTACGTCTCCCTAATAATTGATAATTATAAGCTCGCTGAAAAGGACAGAGCACACCAAGTATTTTTTTAATACTTTACAAAGTATTAATAATGATTTGAGTATTTCACAAGAAACTCGGATTCGCCCTAGTAGGAATCACTCAAGTACTGAAATAGATGCGTTTATTGGATTCGCCCATAGAAAGCTAGTAAAGCAAGGAAGACATCGCCACCACCAGTAGCATCACCATCACCATCACCATCACCATCATCACCACCACCATCATTATTAGGGAAAAGGCGGAGGGAACAGGACTATTCAGCTATAATAAATACCTCTGCAAAGAAGCAATATATAGAATCCTGCTTCTGTCCAAGTGTGGATGTACCTTTGCAGGCCGATGGATCAGTAGATATTCTAGAAACTGTGAAGTCTACTGTGCATGTATTTGATCAAAAAATAATCACCCTTGGTTCTTCCCGCTCCTATAAAAGTTCGAATCATTTGTTAGTAGATTCTGAACAGAATGTGGAAGTTCCTCGGGAGAGTCTATACGATGCTGAGATGTATAGAATCTTAGTGAATTGACGTACATAGCTTCGAAATAACTGGCCAGTGGCAAATTGAAGGAATTGGTAATGATGGAGCCTGGCATCATTTTTTTTGTGACCTAACGATAAAAAGACCAGATAATCCATATCCTGAAGCCATCCTTGAAATTGTAGCAACAGGGTCTATCCCTACACTTATGAAACATTTTGATCGGGTAATAAAATATGCTGACCAGCTTCGCTCTCAAGAAATCTGGATTGTGCATTTCTCTAGAGAGGATTCTGTAGTATCTGACCCATACTGGCCTTCTACTAAATTACAGGATAAGGGATTAAACGTTGTGCACTTCTGGCATGATAAAGACTTTAGAAATGTCCGAATGAGTGCCAGGTTCCGGGATGCCACTGGCGAATTTTCGAAATTATAGATGAGGAAATTTTACCCTAATTTATTCATTTCTGTATTACAATAAAGCTGGACTCTAGTGGTCGATTTAAAATTTACTTTATATGCAATCTTTTGCACGCAAACTTATATCTAATAAAATGTTCCATTCCGACTATAAACGTATTCGAATGAATCAGTGAGAATTACTAAGAAATTCTGGGGAAAGTGATTTTCTATCAGAACAGTTTCTTGTCTTTTTAGAAATAGTAGGCGGATATTATTCGAGTTCTGTGAATTCTGATAATAAAAAATAGATATTACCAAGCCTGAGAAAGGCAAAGAAACACTTGTTTCGGAAAATCAGATTCCAAAAAATCATTTTTTCTCTCTGATTCTTAGATGAATCACGAATTATTAATTTTCCCACTATCGGAGTTTCAGGATGCGTGTACAGCTTATTTTCGGAGCGACAAGACTAGTAAACAGATAGCTTAATTTTCTGATCATCGGAGTGTATAGCTTATTTTACTAAACAGATAGCTTAATAACGTGTCGCGTTTAGGAAAAATTAAAGACTACTGTAAACAATTTCGCGTACATCGTGTTTAAACAAAGGTAAATATAAATAGCTTCACTTTTTCTTTATTTTACCAACAAAAAAAATTTTTACTAATTCAAAGAAACCTACCTATTCTACTTACTAACAACATGAACACGACTGATACCTACCCTGGCCAAGACGGTAAGCTTCAGTCTCGCAAATATTATTTCGATTTATGACAAACCTTCTTTTTACTAACTTTCGACCTTTAGCCCTTACCTCTTATCTAAAAAAGAGCAGGGGTAAATCATCTTATCGTGGGTTCTTGGCCATACATCGAGATGATATTATTGCTTTACCATCATCATTCTCAACCTGGAAGAACGTTGATGATTTTTGGGCATTAAATTTTCTAAAAGAAGCAGAGAAGCTGGATAAGAGTGCTTTCGATGATTTGAAAGAAAGGGTGCGTTTTTTTTTATTTTGCAAAAAAAGGGTAACTCCTAGGAGGATCCGTTCTGACTCAGGAGAATTACTGTCTTTGACACACTTGGTATCCACCCAAGCTCTCAATTCAGGCGCCCTAAATTTGTTGTTGGTAAAAGTCTGCTGATTCTGGAGGAGGAACTGGTTATGTACCTTCTTTTACTACTAAATAAAAAAAATGCACTACTAATAATCTCTTCTCACAACAGGTAAAGACAGAACGTTCGCGTTATGCAAGAGATTTGCGAACGTTCTGGCAGGGAGTGATCGAAGAACGTGGAAGGGTTAAACAAAAACATGACGATGAAGAGAAAGAAAATTTTAACCTATCGTCAAAACGTTCCCGATCCATTATTTCTCTCGTCTGCCTCGTCAAAGGTGATACAATCGCGAACGCTTTCCCTGTCGATACTAGCTTGTTGGGCACCTAAAAAAAGAAATTAGGAAGGAGATTGATATTCCCAAAAACGTCAAAGCGAAGGACCTAAAGTTATGGAAAGTGGAAATTCCAGACAATCACGAAGATCAGCTAAGAAATCTTCCACTTCAGGACAAAGACGAACTTCTTCCAACAAAGAAGATTTCGAAATACTTTCCCTTCACACTTCCCGAGGAGCATGTCCATGTCATCGTAAAGTTGCCACGTAAGTGTTGGGTACAATATGCAACTTTTATGTTATTTTTCCTACTCAGCACGTCTTCGTTTCCAGTTTTCAACCTGGAAGAAGCGTTGTCGTATCCTCCGCCTTATATCAAATATTCTCCATATGGTACTATCTCGAAGACTACTACAAGGGTAGGTGGTGACCCGCCAAGAAAAGTAATGCTTTGGGAAGACTTTTTCGATAACGTAAACGAGTACAGCTTTGATGAGTTAGATCCAGAACGGAAATTTAAAGAGCCACGGTTTATTGATAATTTGATAGTAACTGAAGAAGAGGTTGTTCGTCAAGCAATTAACTTCAATATTTGTTTGGTATTGAACACGCTTATCCCAGGTTTTAAGTATTCAATGCGAAAAGTTCGTTCCACTGGCAAGCCTGATTATTGTTGTCACTACCTAGAAAAATTATTAATTTTAGTGATCGAAATTAAGCGAGTACATATTTTGGAAAGCATCGAGAATGGACAGACATTGCCAGATTTTTACAAAACGAATGCTAAAGCAAGGGATGTATGTAGTTCAGCAACTTTACAACTATATGTCAGAAAACGAACTACAATTTGGTGTGCTTTCTACGTATGATAGTTACTGGTTCGTTAAAAGAGATTACCAAGATGTTTATATTTCGGAATCTCTTTCACTTAATTCAAAATCTCCACCAGTTCTCAAGTCTTATGCATACATAGCTCTGCAAGCAAAGGAGAATCCTTACTCCCTTCACCCTAACAGAGTCCAAGTGCAGATAGAAGGTGCACATTATGACCTTCGATCAAGACGTTTATAGATAATAGTTCCAGCTCTTCCGATACTTAGGGAGGGCAAGCTTTGCGGACTTTAAGTTCGAGAGTGAGGAAAAACGATACGTTACTTTGAAGTTATGTGAAATTTTGGCAACTATTAGTCCGAAGTGTCGATCACTTGTCGAATAAATGCTAATCCCTGATTCCCTGTACACTTTTTCATAATTGTAAATGTGCTACTCCAGCCCATTAACGGTGGCTTAGTTGCTATGCAAAATCCGATTGGCAGATCCGTAACTCATCTCGTGATTTAAGTTGCGAGGAAGTTGCGAGAAGTACCTGGCAAGGAGCCTGGTGTACCATAATACAATGATGATCATATATAAATCCCCGGTTCGAATAAAAATGAATTTGGATTTAGTAGTGTGTGTAGTCTCACTAAATCGGCTACAACTGCTATAAATCTCTCAACCAACAAACCCGTATAAATTTGAATCATGATATTTATTAGTATAGGTTAATAAAGAATCAATATAACGCATCGAAATTGCTAAAAACGCTAAAATCAGCTATAAACTTTTTACACTCGTAAAATGGTTAAAACTAACCACTATTCTGGTTTAAATCCTGTAGTAGTGCAGGCATTAAACAATCTGCAATATAAGTATAGTAATGAAACGCCAAAAATGTGGTGTTCCCGCATTCGTGATCCATTTAGAATACTTATTGAACGTAATCCAAAATTCTTCTCTAAGAACGAATTTATCCACATGACTGAAAGAGAATATAAAGATGGGAAATTCGAACCTGGAAGACATACATTTTATATTTATTATACTGTATATGATTCCTTAGTATTTATCTGTGAAAATACTGAGAAATGCGCAAATGGGCATCTGAATGAATGTATTGCTAAAATAGAGGAAAGGCGTGTCGCATATTATAGATCTATATTATGGAAACGAAAGATTAAAAAAGCACTTAGCTCTAAAAATGGGATTAATAAGATTTATAGTAATAATTGTAATTATGGTGCAAACGGCTTAGTCGCATCAAATAGATAAGCCACCGCTGAAATTTGTGCCGATCATTACCATATTTAAATTGCAATTTTATTGGTCAAATGCTAACACGTAATTACACGTGATCAAATCATATCACGTGATGGTCGTTAATATCGTGACATTTCACGTCATTTTGCGTTAACTTTTTTTTTTCTTATTCCAATTTAACAGAATTATAATGCCTAAACTAAATAAACGCACCAGACAGTCTCAAGATGCTATCAATAAACGTTGGAAGCAAGCAATAAGTTCTGAAAAGGGAGTACTTGAGATATCGGATGCCGAACCTGATAAGTTTGATGAATCATGGTTTGACACTTTTTGGAGGAAACGCGCTTTGATAATGATGAAGTTACGGATAGAATGCAAGCATTGAAACCAAATACGCTAGAACAACTAGTTGAAAATGCAAAAACGTCAAATGCATGGGCAGTAAATTCACGTAGGTCAGTGTACAATGGTGCTGCACAATCAACATTACGTAACAAGAAGGCATATTGGCGAAAAGCAGCTTCAGGTTCTAAGAAGATCACAGAAATGTTTCCAACAAATAAAACTGCTGAGCCTAATACAGACCTCACGTTTGAGAATATGTACGACAGCAGCGATGATAATGATAATGAATTCACTTTAGAATTTCTGGATTCGATATTAAAAAAAAGGAAAGATGATTTGCGGCTTTGAATGATAAGTCAATTTCTTCATCTAGTCCAGGATCAAGGATTTACCAAGATGGATGCAAGTAATCTTCTTGCCCAGAGTTTGAACAAAGGTCCATGGCAAGCACGGCTTAT